TGATCATGATCATGATCAATGATCAAAAGATTTATACAACGCAATCAATTTTGTGAAACGAAAATTTTCCTTTTCTTCCGAAAATTTCCAGAGAGATAGTATTGTTGCCAATTCTTACCAATCTTTTCTAAATTGTTACAACTGATTTGATTGAGTCGTTGGATTTATTGTTGATCATTTTGATAATGAAGATCAAATTGAAAACTCCAATTTCTTTACAAGAGTTTACAATTTTAATAAATAAAATTCCTATAAAAAATGGCGAAACACTTGGTAAATTTTTTTTTTGTTTCATTCTATTATTATTTAATTCATTCATTTATAAATAATATATACGATCTATGTTTATAAATTAATCAGGAGTGGCAGTTTCTGGTGGAGTTGATAGTATGACTTTATGCTATATGTTAAATAAAAGTGTAAAGGAATATTCAAGATTTAATAATAATAATAATAATAAAGTTTTGGCACTCATAATTGATCATAAATTACGTGAAGATAGTATGGCTGAATCCTTGAATGTGTCAGATACATTGTCGAAAATTGGTTTGTTCTTTAATCATATCTATATAATATAATATAGTAGATTAAATTATTAATTATTTTTTATGAATGATAGGTATTAATAACAGAATCATGACAATTCAATGGAACAAACATATTACTCATAATAATGATAATAATAATAAAAATAACATTTTTTCAAATCTTGAATCTTCAACATCAACATCAACATCAGTGCCATTACCAAATTATCCAACAGTTTCTCAATTAGAAACAATGGCACGGATCGAGAGATATAAACTGTTGGCAAAACTATGTAAAGAAAATAATATAAAATTTTTATTTTTGGGTCATCATTTAAATGATCAATTGGAAACCATGATAATGCGATTTTCTAGAGGTAGTGGGATAGATGGTTTAGCTGGCATGGATATTACAAGTAGATTTCCTATTATTAAAAATTATGAAGCTTTAGACATAAGTATTGTTAGACCTTTATTATCTATCACCAAAGTATTGTTTTTTTTTTCATAAGTTATAAAATGTGTAATTTTTATAAATTTATTTATAACTTTCCTTATGCTTAATTAATTAGGAAAGACTTAGATTAACATGTGAAAATTTAAATTTGAAATGGTTTGAAGATCCAACAAATAAATCATTAAATTATAAAAGGAATTTAATAAGGTTTCATTTAAATAATCTTGATAGGAAATATAATCTTGAAAATAAATTAGAATTTGAGCCATTATCAACAACAGGTTTAACAAATTTTTTGAATCATATGAAATATCATAAAACTTTTATAAATTCAAAAGGTAAATTTCTATTTATATATATATATATTAAAGAGAGTGTGTGTGCATGTGGTATTTTTAATTGATTTTTAATTGATTTTTTTTTATTAGTTGATAAGATTATTAAAAATTTTGTAAATTTTGACTCAAAAAATGGAATTTGTATTCTTTATTTATCAGCAAGCACCAATCATTGGCTGACTAAACAACATTTAGCAACAAGGATTCTGAATAAATTAATAAATTGGGTCAATTGTTCAGAGCACAATCCAAGATTGGAATCAGTTCTAAATTGTTACAAATTTATTTTGAAAATTTCATCAAATATCATTAACACCACTGATAGCAGTACACGAAATTCAAAAGAAAACTTCCAATCAAACATCACTATTAATGGTGTTTTAATATGTCAAACACTTTTTTCGACAAAGCAAATCAACAAAGATGATAAGCTTAGATCAGATCTTCATCATTTTGTATTTAGTAGACAACCATTTATACTCAAAAAACAGCAACAAGAAGAGCAAAAAAATGAAATTCCAATAAAAAATGGAGAAATCATATTATGGGATAAAAGATTTTTTATTGGTGTGAAATTTCTGTCATCATTTTCCTCTCTAGAACATTTCTTTATTAGAGCTTTAAATAAAAAAGATTTAAAATTGATAAGAAATCAATTATCATTATCATCCAAAGATGATTATAAACCTTATAAAGAAAGCTTTGAAAATTATTTAAAAAAGATTCCACCAATTTGTAGATATACTATTCCAGTACTAGTAATAAAAAATAATAAATTAAAGAACATGAAAATGAGGAGTGAATTGATGACAACGTTAAAAGAGGGTGAGGATGAAGTAATTGTTGGTTTACCTAGTTTAGAAATCAATTTTTTAAAAAATAATTTGAGTATTTGGTCAAAATTTTGTAATGCTAAAGAATAATAAATTGAAATTTAAATCGCGACAAAGTTAGTGTAACATAGACTTTACATTTTAATCAATCAATCAACAGGTCATTGGATTTGGACAAAATTTGTTTTTTCGATAAACGTGATAAATCATTCATTATTTTCAACTTTATTAACAAATAAATGTCAGCATTTAACACAAATACTGCCATTAGTTTTACAAACAACAATAATAACCCTCAAGGAAATGAAATAGAATTTGAAAGAATTTCTCATACACTTAATTCATTGATCAAACATTTTTTACTTGAAAATGTAAATAATTTCAATGGTAAAAATTTAAAAAAGAACGAGATTACACTACAGCAAAAACGAATTTTTGATTATTGTATGAGGATTTTGGGCAGGTAAATTTTTGTCTAGATCTACAATAATAAATAATATTGAAGGAATGAGTAAATTACATTTAATTGGCAAAATCTCTTTGTTATATATTATCATTTAGTCGAATGACACCCTCCATAGTTAATGATGAAGTTCATATATCAGATCTAATTAAAAAAAAACGTAAATTTTTAAATTTTAAATTTTTTGATTCATAATTCCTTATTGATCTTTAATGATTATAATTTTTTTATCAAGTAATTCGTGATGAAAATCAGTCCTCTTCAAAGGCTTTACGGTTTACTAATTTATTTTCAAAATTACAATCCAAGGTAAAATTAATTAAATAATTACCATACGTTTAGGATTCTATGAATTTAATATAATTAATATATTAATATTTATTTTTAGAAAATTATAACACAAAAATGGGGAATTCTATACTTTTTATTATCAATTAGTGATCAAGCCGGAAGTGATAAAAATCTTAAATTAGTGAATACTACTCCTATAGAGCAAATGTTTTCATATCGTGGATTATCCAATATATCATCAGCTCATTATGACCTTGATCAAAATAAATTTACATCATCTATTATCATCAATCAATCTAATCAATCTATTCCAATTATTCCAAATATCGCATTTCCATCATCCTCCTCTTCTTTATTATCATCAGCATCACCAGCATCACCAGCTATACCAATTGAAATAACACAGGAAAAGGATACATTACCTCCAAAAGCAATTTTAAGCAAAAGATTGGCGCAATTACAAAATGGCAAGTAATTTGTATTATTAATTAGTTGATATATTTTAAAAAATTTTTTTTATGTGACTTACTAACTTGCTATAAATGATTAATTATGAAAATAGCAAATAAAGAGATTTCAGAAGCACAGTTATTAAGAGATATCGTGTTTGTACTTCAAGGAATAGAAGGACAACATATTAAATTTGAAAAGGGATCCTCTTCGTATATTATTGACCCAAAAGTAAGATTATTGAAGTTTTTTTTCAAAAATTTGTGGTTAATATTATAGGGTTATATTAATTTCATTAATATAATAATTTATGATTTTTTAATTTGATAGATGACAATTACTTATTCAACTCGTGATCTTTTGCATAGACTTATAGAATTGGGATGGCTTTATCGACGAGTCAACGAGTATGTAAAGATTAATTTTAATGATCCTTCTATTGGCTTAGTTGGTCAGGTAATAAATAAATGATTGATTAATTAATCAATTTAATTTATATAAATCATCATAATGATTATTTTGTTATTTTATTTATTTAGGCATTTAGTTCGGCACTGCAACGTGAATTAACAGAGTATTACAAATTTATTGCCACTATTGAAGCACAAGTTGCTAAAGAATTAGAAGATCAACAGCAGCAGCAGCAACAACAACACCAACAACAACAACAACAACAACAACAACAACAAACATTTACAAAAGGAATAACTTTAAAAAAACTTTTAGTATGGTCTCAAGATTATTTATTAAAATTTAGATTGATGTCAGTATTGGTGGAATGTTGCAAACAACAAAGAGGTGGTGCACTAGTTTCAACAATTTATAAATATACATATAATGGGGATCCATTTATTCAAAACTTTATTAATAATATCCTTGAAGAGGTAATTAATTAAAAAAGAATTATCATTATTATATATAAATATTAACAACCTAATATTATATAACTATAAATAGGTTTCAAAACCATTTTTTGAAATGCTACAAAGATGGATTTATGAGGGGGAATTAGAAGATCCATTCGAAGAGTTTTTTGTCGCATGTGATCCAAATGTTGAAGAGGATTTATGGCAATCTAAATATAAGATACGTAAAGATATGCAACCAACATTTATCAGCTCATTACTTGCAAAAAAAGTATTAATTATTTTTGGTTTTTTTTTAAAAAAAAATTGTCTTGCTTTTTTATTAATAAAAATTTTTAATTTCTATACAAAGATATTTTCAATAGGAAAATCACTCAACTTTATAAGATATAGTTGTAATGATAATGATTGGATTATTAATAATGCAAAACCAACGGGGGCTGATGAAAGTACAGTCAGTTATATATAATCAATTATTATATATATAATTGATTTCATATTAATAATAATGATTAATTTGAAATTTTTTATAAGTATTAAAATATGGAGATATAATTGGATTGGAAAGTTCTATAGATAATGCTTACAAAACGACAAGCAAACAACTTATGAATCTTTTATTTGCTAAATATAAACTTAAAGAGCATTTAATTGCTATAAAACGATATTTACTGCTTGGACAAGGAGATTTCATTCAACATTTAATGGTCCAACTTGGGTATATATTTCAACCCCCATTGAAATTCTTGACATAAAATTAAAATTAAACTATGATCATTAATCTTAACAATTAGACCAGGACTTTCAAAGCCTGCAAATACTCTTTATCGTCACAATCTCACAGGGACGTTAGAAGCAGCAATTCGTGCTTCTAATGCTCAATATGATGACCCTGATATTCTCCGACGTTTAGATGTTAGGCTTTTAGAGGTACATGTTTATATGTTATTAAGATATTGAATAAGAATGCATATATAATATCATGTATTTTTGTAGATTTCATATGGAGATGTTGGATGGGATGTGTTTAGCTTAGATTATTACGTTGATTCACCAATTAATACTATTTTAACACCAAGTGCAATGAATCAATATCTTAAATTGTTTAATTTCTTATGGCGTTTAAAACATGTTGAACATGACTTATCATTTGCTTGGCGTCGTAATATGACAAGTGCAAGAACTTTACATCAGATTAAAGGTAAGGTTGAGAATTGATTTATTTTAAATACAATTAATATTTTTAAAACTATTAACCTTTTATTATTTATTTATTAGAATTAAAAAAGGATATAAATAATAGTAGATTGGTGTGTAGTGAAATGACACATTTTATATACCAATTACAATATTATATATTATTTGAGGTTGTTGAATGTTCATGGGATGAACTTGTAACAAATATTAATAAAAAATGTGTAGATTTGGATTCACTAATTGAAGCTCATAATAAATACTTAACAAATTTAACATCAAAATGTTTTCTAAATACTTCAAATAATCAAGTAGTTATTTTTAATTATTATTATTGTCATGTTCCTGATTTATTACTAATTGCACTAAAAAAACACTTTTTTTAAAGAATCTTTTTTCTAGATTATTAAAGATCTTTGAATATATTTTACAATATAAAAATTCATTGGTAATAAGTACTTCATATTCTATATAATATTTATTTCTATTACTATTCAACCATAATAACACACATATTATATATTCCTTTAGGATGAATTATATAATTTCACCATCAAAGAACTGATGCATAGAGAAAATATTAATATTGTATCAGAAATACACCAAGGAAAGGTAATGCTAATTAATATATATGTGTGTGTAAATTTATATGACACTTTTGAATATAAAATTGATATAATAATAAATTTTGTTATTTACTATTCCTCATTCAAATTATTTAAAAAGTCGAGAAATCTGGGCGATACTGATGAAGAAAAATCATCATTTTTAAGTGATGATTCAAAAGAAAAATTAAAACCAATTCAAGCACGTTTTAATGAAATAGCAGGATTGTTCAAGGTATTATTATTATTATTTTTGAATCTTGAATTTTATCCTTAATTTTAAGGTTTTACTTTATTTTTTCTCCCCCCTAATTTTTTCGATATTTTTATGCAATGAAAAAAAGAGTGAAGTTGTTGACTTATTAACTACACTGGCTCATCTTCAAGACACTGATCTAAGATTTCTAAATGTTCGGCTTGACTTTAATGAATTTTATAGCAACTCAACTAGATAATAAATTTATTAATATTAATATTATATTAACAATAATTGTTTTATTAAATTATTGCCACAATTTTGAATAGTTTAATTAAGACCATTTTGATGGACTTTTTAATTTTTCCTCCTTCCAATTCTGGTCTTATTAACACTTCTACCAGATTGTACATGGCTGTTAAAAAAATAAACATATGATTTTGCTCCGGGTTAGTACAAAAAATTAGAAATCTTAACCCACTCCATGATGGAGTGATACATAACCCTCATCCCCTGATGATATGATGATGCAATTGAATTTAGGACCGTATGTCTCTGGCCTTGAAGTTTGTTTTGATCATCAGAAATTTCTAAAAGGCCAAATTATCTTTATGTGATGTCTAACTTTTTATGAAATTCATCTTTGAAATGCTCAAAATCAGTCAAGCAAGTAGAACTTGCATACAAAGCGAAAGGTTCCTCATAAAAAATTGCAATGGTTATCATAATTTTTTCATTCTAAATAATTTATTGCTCAAACACATCACGATTTTGTGATCTGAAATGCTCAGGAACCGTCAGATGGACAAGCCTCGTGTACTAACAAAGTGAAAGTTGTTCTATACTTATATAATTTAAAATCAATCAATTAATATTATTACATATTTACTATTATTGATAGTGCAGGTTAATTTGACATCATCTATTATATAATTAGAACTATTTATTTTTCATATTTATGATTTGATATGGTTTAAATCATTACTATTGTGTATATCGTTAAAAGCATCTTTGTGTGATATAATATCCATCAACTTAAAAATGTTTTCTCACATTCTAGAACTTTATCCAAACCGTGGCTTAATTCATATTTCATTATTTATAAATGTCAAGAATTCAACAGAATTAAAAAAAAGATTATTATCTCATGATTCAGAATTGAGTTATGCTTTTGTTGATGCTAAAGTGGTAAAAATTTAATCCCAATTTGTTTTTTTTATTTTATATATATATATATATATACAATAGACTAATATAGTTTTTAAGATACTAGGTACTTGATAAATTTCAGTTATTAATAGCAATAAATAATGCTGTCCATTATGAAAATCTTGGAATATTAAAAACTCATAATGTTCATTCAGAAATTGTTTATAATCTTTCTCCAACTACAAATGTAATGTATAAATTCTGTGTATTTATTATATTTTTAAATAAATGATATTTATATATATTTATATTAATTAGATAAGTGAATCATTAAGAAGATTTGGTATTTCAAATTCATCTAATACAATATTAATAATTAAAGTTGGTGAAGATTCAGATAATGTACATGCATACTTATTTACATAAAAAAAGATTTAATGATTTTATTTTATTTCTAATAATTAATTAAATAATAATAATAATGATAGTAGTAGTAGTAGTAGTAATTAATTTTTCATTGTTTCATTAGGTAAAATCTCACTTGTCAAAATTAATTGATGGAGAAGAATCTTCATTAGAAGAGCTTTCTAAATTTACAGATTTTAGTTGTATTAAAAAGGTAAAAAACTTATTGTTATTATTATCATTATTATTAAAACTTACAAATGTATATTTTATTAAATTAAATGTTTCTTTATTATTTTTTTTAGTATTACAAAATTGATAATAAAATAACTGATTACAATGAAATGCTCAATATTATAGTTGGTTCTATGGCAATAAAAAGTGTCATTTAATAATAATTGTAATAAATAAATAATTTAATTAGTAAAATAATTAATTAGAAATTTGCAATTGACTATTTTTAATCAATTTCAACATCTTCCAATCCTTCATTATGATGATGACCTGGGCCACCAAATCCTCCTGTTGAATGAATAAAATAAATATGGTGTTGCAGATTGTGTTCTGAGTTGAACAAGTGCTTGTATTATTAAGATGAACTATTTCAGTAGATATATTAGACAAAGACTTGCTATTCTAATAAGAGGAACATGAGGATTTTACATTTTCAAAGGTACCAGTCTCTGACCTTACATTAAAGTTATTTTTAATAACTTTTTTAATCAATACATTTGTCCTTTATTATTATTACCTTTGATGTAAAACATAATTTTTTTTGACCTGCAAGTAACCAATTATCAAAAGTAATATTAACATCATAAAATAATTCAAAACTATCTTTATGAAGCATAATTCCAATATGATGAATGCTTAACTATCAATTGACAATCACCAATTAGCAAATCATGTGATTTAGATATAATTAATTCTAGAGGTAGATTAATTCAACTGTATTGAGGACATAAAAAAATTTTTGTAAATGATGATTTATAAATCTATTAGATATTTTTTTTCTAAAACACTATCAATTCTTTTTTTTAAACCAAAATTAATAAGCTCCACCTTTGATGATGGTACATCAACTGGAAATGATATTGAAGATTTTGAGAATCCTTAATAATAGAAGAAAAGTTATTTTTTTATAAAAAAATTAAATATATATATACCATCCAAAATTCTTTAATAACATCAATTAAATCCTCTTTATTATTTCCATGGCTACTAAATATTTTTTCAATATTTAAATCACCCAAATCTAAAGAATCAATCATTTCATATGAAACAAATTTAATAATAAATTTTTAGTGTCATCAATAACAAATTGAGAATGTTGCAATAAATCCTTAGATTTTAAAAAACATGCTCAGCATATTTCTCAATCTCTATTATATTAATAATATAAAAAAAAGATTTCATGAAATCAGTCATTTGAATACTAATAATTATTGTAAAAATAAAAAATAAAATCCCCATTTTTACCATTTATAAGTGACAACAAAATAAACTTGCATAATTGCAGTTTTTGTATGTTCTTTACGATCAACTCTTTTTTCATAATAATAATAGCAATTAATAATTAAAAAATAAAATAAAATCATATTATTAAAAGACACTAATTAATTGGCTTGCCTTATGATCTCATTAATTTGTAAACAAATGATGCATGTTGTTTTGAAAATAATATAATATTTATTTATTTATAATGTGCCATTTAAAAATAGACTTATATTTTTAAATAAAATAAAAATTCTAATTAATTTCAACAAATAAATAAATAGATATAATATATACATACAATCATCTCTAATTTTTGTGCAATTTTTGCATAATATTACACTATTTACATAAGTTTATGGCAGGCCCCATAATATTATGTAAATTTACATCAGAAAAAATTTCCTGATGAACTTATGATAAATTCAAACAAAATCCTTTTTGGTGAAGTAAAGCCACCAAAATATGAGAATTCATCATTATTAATCAATAAAGATTTTATTAAACTCACAAATTTTCAAGTTGGTGCATTGGACAAGTTAATAAGTAAAAATGGAAATGGAGACAGAGTCACAATGTTTGGAATCTGGATATCTGGTAGATGTTTAAATTGATTTTGATTTTTGAGCTTTTTTTTGTACTGTTTGCCAACTAAAACCTAATATGTACTCTTAGGTACACAGATTCGAGTGTATGAAATGAATTTAAAATTTGATGGAATTTACATGTTGACCTTGATGTCAAACGTAATCCTTCCTACAGAACCATCACAATTTCCAAGCATGGTTTCTGTTTTGGAAGCTATTTATAATGTGAAAGTAAGTAACAAATAATTCAATAATACCTGTTTATGACTTTGATATATATGTGTCTCAAACCACTAAGAATCATTCTCTGTGATTGTAAGGATCATGTAGTTGAATTAATAGAAACCATCTCGAATAATATACCAACCAAATATCTGTTGACATACACCAGATCACCATGTGGTCTTCCAAAAGAAATCAAAATTCCAGTTAGAGTTTAACGTTATTATAATAATATTTTTATAAATAATGCATTTTAACTTTCCTTGCAAAATCAATTGATAATTTTTAGATTACAAGGAATTTTATTTTCTTTATCAATTAATATTATTGATAAAAATTTTTTTATTTAAAAACAACTAATCGATTAAATACTTAGCATTAAAATAATAATAAATATCTATCTAATTATGCACTTTAATACCCATCTACTTTAAAATAAATTTATCAATGATAATTACCCAATTATTGTCACAATAGTCAATGCGTTTACTAGCAACTAAGCAAATTATGCGACTTTTATGACTTGCACTGATAGTAAATAAGGATCTCACAATAGTATTATAATAAAACGTGTGTCAAAGTAAACTGTTGATGATGTCTATAACCCAACTTTACTAGTTGTACATTAATACTAACATCTACATTAATTTCTGGTATCTTCTTCACATCATGTAATCAGAAGGTTATGATAAATTTTAAAAGAAGACTTAATTGAAGAACTAGTTATTATAAGTGCATTTAGAGAACATAAGAATGGCCATTTTCCTTATGCATATTAAGGTTTCTGGTCCAAACTGTTTCCTCAAAGCCCAAACTAGTTTGGGCAATTTGGGCTTCTCAACATTTTTTATAAGCATGAACATTAAAAAACTATATGA